AGATTTCTTCCCCACTGTGATGGCTTCAGTGAGGTTTCCTGCACGGACAGCAGTCTGGAATTCTTCAGATTCCTCATGGGATAGGCCACTAAGGTGACTGCCCCATTCTAAAAATAAATCAGCCCAGAAAGTTCTTGTACCTGCCATTTTCCTGGGGAAAGAAACACCAATTCCAGCCATGATCAGTACTTTGTGCCCAGAGACAATTTATTAACCTGCACACAGTAAACATATAGAGATCTCTCTTATTAGTGCGCACAAAAACCCACTGAGTTGTAAGAAAAGGATCTTTGGTTACAAATTGCAAGAAGTCAAATAATCTACGGATAACTTCTCCGAGTGGCCAGCAGGGAAGGGTTCATTTCCACATAAACTGACTGGCAGTGCCCCAGTGTGACACTGTGGGGGGCTCTGCTGCAGGGTCTGTGTTCTGGGTGGCAGGAGAGGCCGTGTGCCCCTCAGTGCTGACCCCAGTCCCAGCCCAGCGCTGTGCAGCAGGGAGCAGGGGGAGGGGCACAGTCGGGTGTCATCTCCCCGCGGAGTCAATGCTGGTCGTGATGTCCCAGCGTGGTGCTGGGGGGCGCTGTGCTGCACAGAACAAGGGGGGAGACAATCCCCGCGGAGTCAGAGCTGACCTGCGTGCACCAGCACGTTGTCAGGGAGAGCTCGTCTGCGGGGACAATCTCGGGGGTGCGGGGGAATGCAGCACTTTTAAGTTTCTGAAATAACAGGGGACAAAGAGTCCTGTGGCACATTATAGACTAACAGACGTATTGCTCCAATACATCTGTTAGTCTATAAGGTGCCACAGGACTCTTTGTCGCTTTTTACAGATCCAGACTAACACGGCTACCCCTCTGATACTTGAAATCTCTCCTCTGTCCAAAAAACTGAACCTGGTCTGACCCTGTGATTTCGAGTCTCAACTTAATTTCTTTGGTTCTGTGGGTCTGGACTTGGGGAATAGCATGGGACAGACTTTTGTCCTCTCTCTTCTACCTTCAGCTGAATCCTGTGTCGAGGTCAGCTCTCATGCGGGGACGCCTGGAACGAATCCTCAATTAACATAAGAACGGCCAGACTGGGTCAGACCAAAGGTCCATCTAGCCCAGTGTCCTGTCTTCCGACAATAGCCAGTGCCGGGTGCCCCAGAGGGAATGAACAGAACAGATAATCACCAAGTGACCCATCCCTTGTCTAGCTGTGCCATCTTCTGGCAATCAGCACTTTATAGCTTAACACCAGCAGCCCCAGCTGACAAAAACACCTCTCATTCTCACTCCTGCCGCTGGGAAACAATGCAAATAGAAATGAGACTCTACTTTCGGGGGTGGTATTCTGGGTTCAATAAAAGACCAGGAATCAGGGCTCCTACATTCCTTGCTGAGGCCTGGGAATGGTGCGGGCTCTGGTGGGTTACAGCAGGGCGGGCTGGGAGTTCGGTTCCCTGGTTTCTATTCCTGTCTCTGGGTCACAGCCAGTGCACTGGAACGGGGGCGCCATGGGGCCATGGCCCTCCCACTTTTTACCGGCCGCAAGGGTGAGCGATGGGGGGAGAGGGGATGGAGAGGAGCGAGTGGGGGGCAGAGTTTTGGGGAAAGAGACGGTGTGAGGGCAGGGTTCATGGAGAAGAGGTGGCACTGGGGTGTGGTCTCGGGGGATGGGGCAGTGCAGGTTGGCGGCCCTGCGGGGAACAAGCGGCCTATGGGGCAGGGCCATGGGGAAGAGGAGCCTGGGGGGGCAGGGCCACGGTTCGGGTGCTAGTGGCCCTCCCACTTTTAGAGAGCTTCAGTGCGGGAGGGGCCTCAGGGCTGGGGTAAGGGGTCAGTGTGCGGGAGGGGGTGTGGGCACAGGAGGGGGCTCCGGGCTGAGGA